ACATTTATTTGTGAAACATAGTATCAGTTTTGTGGCTAGTGAGTCTGGCTGTCATATAAATATGATAGAGATTACGTGGCGGCGTGTTAAAGCGATATTGCCGACTTATAACCGGAAATGCGATTTGCAATTTTATTCGGTGGTTTATATATTTTCCCATCGTTGTTCTGAAACGTCAGAAGATGCTTTTAACCAATTTGTGGTGAAATTGTTTTGGTGATGTTTGAAATTAGTATTTCTGCTCTTCGAAGAAGCATTTATTTATGGTAAGGGCATTTTGTTTTCTCCTTGTGCTTATTTAGTAGAATGTTATGTTCATTGTTTTTTAGTATGAATTTCCGTCGTTATTGTTGTTTTTTTTAATTGTTTGAAATTTATTTAGTTTATTGTGATTGTGCGCAGTGTCTAGATGTGCAATTCGTAGATGTTTTTTTAACGTTTAAACAACACTGTGTACACGTATCTTGAAATTTATTGTGTTATGTTAATTTTAAAGCAAGGTTCGCGTATTCGTAGATTCTTCGCGCCTAGATTGTGCAATCTGGATTTTTTTTAATTGTCATATCACTGTGTACATGGATTCTTGTCGATATTTTTGGTTAGAAACTTTACGTTTTTGCTATCTAAATTTTTTGTTTTTGTTTCGGATTTTTAGCATAAATTATGTGTCCGAAACCTGGTTTTTGCACGTGCGAAAACCGTGTTTTTCAAGACATTTTAAGCTAAAAGTTCGAAATGAAGACAAAAACTTTAGTTAGTAATATCGCCATATTTCTCGCCAAACATTTTTGGAGAGAAATTTGTCGCCGCATTTGGCTAGCTGAGGGGGCATATAAGAGTAGTTCCCCAGAAACTTACTCACTCATAATTAAATCTGACAAATTTCTTGGTTTTCAACAAGAAATGGCGTAGTTAGTTGAGCAATGGTAAAGCGACGCGAAATTGACAGAGCAGCAGTGAGGGAAGGGAAGAATAATGAATTAATTCGCCAGTGGTATTTATGCTAAATTTGAGGTATAAGTAGAGCTAGTCTATGATTGGTTAATTTGACGTTGTTACATAATATAGAAGGTTCTCGAATTTGGGAGAACAGATGAATTTAGAAGGAGATCACCAAAATCTAAAATGCTAATTTTGATGTCGAATATAATAAGGTCAATAGAACAGAATAAAATAATTAAAACAATTTAAAATATTTCCATGACAAAATATTAATGAGAAGAATGAAATATGAAAGATGAATATAACCAGGTGGAAGCATGTATACAAATATGAAAGACGAAGACAGCCAGATATAACAGCAAAACAATGCATAAACATTAAAATGCAGTTTATGTCTATTAACCAACTTTGAAACAAACTCGGGTTTTTTAATAAAATGCAGTCTCTTTTAAATAAAGCAATAAGCTATCCGCTATCTGTTTTTGGACCAATTGGTCAAAATATATGTCACAATTATTAATATACTTCTGAAAGGTTTGTTAAAATATGGGTAGTGTAATCAAATATAACACACTGATAGAACATCAATTCAAATTGAGCATATACCATGATTTTTAACTTTTATTGATATGAACGGTCCATAGTAGCTGTCACGTATTCAGGATTTTCGGCTTGGTGACACTGCTGATAGCTCTGTTTCTGATCTAATACATTCGAGTTATGATTGAATACTAGGTAACCTCGTCCTGAAATGTCGAAGAATCGGTTTGGTATTCCGACAGTATTCGGCTTATCTGTCTTATAACATACTCCGTTAAACTAAGTAAGTTCATTATTTGACCTCAACCGCTTTTATCCGACACAAACAGATTAATATATCTTACTGCTAAATGAAAAGATAAAATAGTTGCTTCATTTCATGTACACTGCCCCCCATAAGGGGGGAAAGAAAAGTGAGGAAGTTCTGTATCTCCCGTTCTACTGGGTCGATTAACGAAATTAAATTGCTTTTTTCATGTCTCGAAAGCGTGACTTAGGATACGTATTAGACTTATATATATATACCCTTGATCTAGTAGGCATTTTGACACAAAATCGAACTTTTTCTGAAGCGACATGCCACTTTTTTTCCATAGTCCGATTCTACGACTCAAATTATTCCGAAATGCCAAGTATTGTAAAAATCGCACGGGTAGTTTTTAAAAACTTAAGCTCTCAAAATTTAAACACCTCAATTTTTATTGAGTTTGATATATGCTTATTTATATCTCTCTTTTTATTAAACTTATTTGATTCTTCCTTTCATATTTCGAAATTTAGGTTCATTTTAAATAAAATTCACCTATTTTTCATAATTTATTTTTTAAATTTGTATTTTTAAATAATTTTTTATAAATTTTTCGAAAAACATTTTGAATTACAACCTACAAACGTTTTGCCATCATCTTTAAGTAGATGTCTTTCTAAGCATACTTTCAAAAAATTAGAGATTTTTATTGAAAATTTCCTAAGATAGACGTGAATTTACATTTTGGCGCGTTTTGAAATTTGGCGTATTTATTATAAGCGATGATAACGAAAATGTGCTTTACGCACTTTGTTAAAATTATCTGAAAGTAGAAACAATGACTTTTTTCCGCTCGTAGACAATGAACAAAAAGGAAAGGAAAATTAGGTTGCTACAAATAAGAAGTTCGCCAAGTGAATTATTCTTCGCGCAAACTAAAAAAAAAAAAAAAAAAAAAAAAAAAAAAAATTCGCCAAGATAATTTTTTAAATTTCTCCATAAATTTCTCACCAAAATTACAAAATTTAATATTTAGACATAATTTGGAGTCGTTGAATCAAAATATGGGAAAAAAATTGGTATGTTATTTCAAAAAAGTCCGATTTTGTTTCAAAATACCTATGTTGGAATAAAGCTATATATAAATCTAATATATATCCTAAGTCGCGCTTTCGAGAGAACGGGAGATATAGAATTGTCGCTCCCTTTTTTTTCCGCACTGTACATTGCATAACTAATTTTCGTCCTCCTTTGATAATTCATTTGGCTACATCCTAGGGGAAGGACCAAGTTTTCTTGGGAAAATTAGTTAGCTTAGAAATCGGAAGGAATCGATAATAAAATTCTTTCTGTTTTCTTAACTAAATAGCTTAGATTCTATTTCATATTATGCTCAAAAGTGTAATATAAAATAAAGCGTCAATTATTTTGGTCGTTTCCAGATATTTTTTAAAACATGAATTAATCAGTTAAAAAATTAATAAACAAATTTTAAATTTAACAGATGCGATCGTTTTAAAGCAAATGCCATAGATGTTACGTGAAATTCCTTTGGTAAATTCACAATATGCTATCAAGATTTTTAATTTTGTATTAGATTCATTTCCAATAAATGTTGTAATGCTGACTATTACTACTTCTTTTTGTGAATTGAGATTATATTATATATAAATATAGAACAGGATATAGAATATTCAAATCGAATTTTATGTGAGCATAGTCTTTATTTGTAGCGTTAGATTACAACGTCCATACATGGTGTACTATAGTACCCATGTTTTATTAACTGAATATTATAATAATCATTAATACAAATATTATTAGGATTAAACGCCTTTTTTATTACTCGCATGATGCATTTTCTGACTGTAATATGGTATTTATTTGTTGCATTTTATATTACCAGATTATAGAGAAATTTGAGTTTACTACATATTTTGGGGCGGCCAAAGATGGTACACCACTGCGTTACGTAGCCATGGGCAGAGGAGATTTCCATGGTCTGTATTCTCTTATCCTAACTTACTAACATACATTTAATGGCGTCTGCTTAGAAATTCTAATATTTTTGAATTTTAAAAAATACATATATTTTATTGCAACCCAAGTTTTTAGAGAAAATCGAAATACGTGAATTTTAATTTATCTTGTACGGGATGAACAAGTTTTTTAGCCCAAAGGGGATGTTAGTTCTGAATGAGATATTAGCCTCGAAATGGCACTGTGCACTGGAATTACTATAAACGCCATATCACTTTTCAAGTTGTTGCCACCCAGTATTATCGCTATGTAATATATTTAAAGAAATTAAAGAATGAAGAATCTGCATGGATATATGCATGTTTCTAGCACTGTGAGAAAACAACGGTATCTAGAGCCATCAAATTTTGAATAACGTAGTCCTTCACCCGAACACAGCAACCTGGAAACCTTAATTTTGAATTTCAATTTTTTTTGTTATATATTTAATTTTTTGTAAAACTTTAACTAGTTTTTGATTAATAAGCTCAACGATTTCAAAGCGAACAATGGCAACACTGTATGGGAAAATACATTTTTATCTCCAGCGCGCAAGACTATGCATATCGGAAATTTAAATGCTGTTTTTAAATATTTTCAGCCCAAAGGGTACTTAGCCTAAATTCTGTGAAGACGTGTACGTGCATGTAACTTAAAAAATAAACCTTTGTGCATAATATAAAATCTAAAAGTTTTCTTTTTATGGTGTGTGTTTCTAATAATACTCACAACAAAAATTCAGTGCTATTGCTTTTTGGGGTAATCGGTCTGAGCAGTCTACTTTGGCGTGGCTCCTAACTGGACACCTGAAATGCCTTAAATTTGACGAAGGATAAGATCTACTTCATCTGTAGGAAATGTAGTGCTGATTATTTTCATTCCTGAACATCATCTCACCTGTTTGGGATTTGTAAAAAAGGACCTATTTAAAAGACCTACCTTCGTTTTGGATCTATTGAAGGTTCTTGGACTCTTGGTTTAGAGTAATAGCTAACCAGTTAGGGTCCGTAACAGGAAAAAAAATATCTGAAAGCTTTTATATTTTACATTACGCCCAATGGGGCGTTTTTTTTTTTTTTTTTTTTTAATGTTTTGTGCGTTACCTTTATCTATTAAGTATCATGTTCTTTGCATTTAAACCATAACATCCAATTCAACAGCAATATCAGAAAACCTTTCAAAAAGAGCAAGCATATCTTTAGAATTTCCGATACACAATCTCGCGCGCTGGAAATATTTTTTTTTTTTTTTTTTTTACCTCTTAGAGTGTTGCCATTGCTCGCGCTCGCTTTGAAATCGTTGAGTTTCTTAATCAAAAACACATAAATGCTTTGGAAAATATGAAATAGATAATAAAAAAAAATTCCAAACTTAGGCTTCACATGCCTATATTTGAGTGGAGGACTACGTTATTCAAAATTTGATGTCTCGTCGTAGCTTCTTCACATTGCGAGAAACATGCATACATTCATGCAGATTCTTCATTATTTTAATACTTTAAATATAATGCCGGGCTCTAATATTTGGTGACAGCAATTTAAAAAGTAAAACGCCGTTTATAGTGAACCAACGCAAAAAATGCCAAAACGAAATTAAAAGCTTATCTGGGCAAATTTGCCCTTTAGGCTAAGAATCAAGGTATATCAAGGTGCTTTAGGCTAAAAATCAAGGTATATCAAGGTGCTTTAAGCTAAAAATCAAGGACTTTTAAATATATATTTCCGTTATTAAATTTAATCTGTTTCTTCTCTATAAATGCAAGCCTATTTTAAAAAAATATGTTTGTAAATTTGCTATTTCATTAAAGGCATAATTCGAATTTTTTCAGTAATTGAACTTTTTTCATTTTTAGCCTTTTTTTTTTTTTTTTTTTTTTTTTTTTTAAATCTAAACGGGCTTTGTCCCTGAAGGACTATTGTTTTCGTTTTGAGATTTTGCGTTGTATCACTATAAATGGCCGTTTCACTTTTCACACTGTTGCCATCAAATGCTAGAGTCTTGCATTATATTTGAAGAAATTAAATAATGAAAAATCTGCATAAATGTATGTCTATTTCCCGCATTGTGATAAAACAGCGGTACATAGAGCCATCGAATTTGAAATGACGTAATTCTCCTACGAATATGCCCATGTGGAAGAGCCAATTTGAAATTTGGAATTTGTTTTATTATCGATTTCATATTTTGTAAAACTTTAACGAATTTTTGAGTAACAAACTCAACAATTTAAGAGCGAGCAATGGCAACACTCTACGGCGCGGAAAAAAACCTTTTTATCTCCAGCGGGCGCGAAAATGTGTATCGGAAATTCTAAAGATACGCTCATTTTAAAATTATTTTGCGACATTTCTACTGAACTTAATTTTATGGTTTAAGTGCAAGGAACATAATATTTAATAAATAAAGGTAACACACAAAACGTTAAAAAAAACGCCCCTTTGGACGTAATTTAAAATCTGAAACCCTTCAGATTTTTGTGGATGGAGCTTGTTTATTTTATTTGTTTATTTATTTTTTTTTCATTTTTGCTCTTTTAAAAAGGATTCTAGTGACTTAAATAAACTTTCATAATTTGATTTGGAGAAAGTACGGGATTCATCCTAGCTCTAATTACTTTGCTTATCGTGACAGGCTAAATAACAGCTTTAATAGAGATGTGGATGTGCTTTATTTGCTATTGATTACATTTACATATGAAACATGTGATTACTGAAATTTTTATTTTACTCAAAAAAAAAAGCAAAAAAGTATTTAGATTTGTGTAAATTTAAGCAGACTTCTATCAGTTTTGAAGGTGATATGACATAAGTCCCTCTTCTTCAGGCTAATTTGAGATTTCAGACTATTTTACAACTGACTAACTCTTTTATTCATGATAGTATCTAGTATATGCTAAACGGACTGACATAATTTCATTTAAAATAGTAAGTTACAATCATCAGGACAAATATCAACTTTGAACTGCTCTTAAGTATTAACCACAACAGAATTCAATGCATAACCCAAGGAGTTTATTTTCAGCTTATTATGTGATAACATCAAATTTTGAAAGCACAATTTCCCTTACAGGTTTTATTATGTGTATGTCAACGTACGATATTATGACATATTGCATCAGCGTACTTGAATATGATATTCAGAAGACAAGAGAGCAAACTGAAAAGGTAATTCATTTACGGAAATAAAATGCGAAAATTGTTATTCTTTCCTGCTAATCTAGATTATTCTTTTAGTCTTTCATACGTATTTTATTTAGGGAACAGGAGATTTAAATTGCATATGCAACACATTAGTATTAAATTTATGGCAAATTAAATTCCATTGTTCCTTTCTAATGTATATTTTATCATCTCTATTTATTTGAAAACTTATCTTTAGTTTTGTGAGTTTTTGTTTGATGATTTTAAATATGCATCATTTTCATTCCTTTTCTCCTCGAAATAAAACGTGTCACAGAATTTTGTAAATACCGTATATTCTTTATATAACGCACACCTATATATTTTAATTTTTGGTATATTCGCCATATAACGAGCACTCTTTTATTTAAGAAGAAACCCGAAAGATACGTGTGCGATGCTCTTATCTTTTGAAATCATTCATTCGAAGATTTTCCCCAGAATTTAGAACAGTGGTATACTGAATTGATAAGAGATAAGGGAACAATATGTGTGTTTCGGGGGATGCTTGAGAGAGTAAATAATTCTGAGAAGATGGTGGGTTGTATTCAGTGCAGGTGTGCACAAGAATGTTATGCTAGGGTTTCAAGAAAAAGCGGGCATAACATGGGGTAAGAATGGATTTCCGATGCGGAAGATTTCGCGTAATTAAGAGTTTTCTCTGAATAGATGAAAGCACAATAATTAATATGATTTATGTAAAGGAAATTATCCGACAACGAAACTTTTTAAGTTCATAAGGTGTATCATTTCTTTTAAATAAACAGCATTTAGATGTACGCTGAAGTGCCACTGAATTAGGGGTAGCTAGTCAGTAACGAGTTGGGCCTCCTCTGGCCTTTATAATGGCTGCCTAACGACGAAGCATAGATTCAATAAGTTTCTGGAAGCATTCTACCGGAATGGCTTGACAACGGCGGATAGAGTTGTCCATAATTTAGGAAGAGTAGCAAGTGTTGTGTGATGAGGTGTCAAATCTTTCCTCCAAAACATCCGAAAGATTTTTTTTATTGCCAACGGCAGATTATGAACAGTTAGAGCATAAAAACAAGAACAAAGAACATAGAATACAGCAATACAATGAGAAAAAATTAAAAAAAAAACAGCTGCAACGGAGTCCATTAATCTAACATATCTCTTGACTCCCAGCAACGCTCGGCAAGAAAAGTCTTGCGCAGAGCAGGGTAGTGGGGTAGATGTGCGGCATCCATCCCCTCTCCACAACTGCACAGAGTGCGTATCGGAGAAGGAACAATTTTGAATCTATGAGGATGATATCGCAGGCAGTCATGTCCGGTGCCAAGGCGGAATTCAGCGACCGTTCTACACCTTGGGCCATTACACAAATTCGGGACAGCATTCTTCCAAGACTTATGAGAAACACGATGATAGAGATCTTCCTGAGCAAATACTTTGATAGATCTTTTAATAAGGTCCTTAACAGTATGGAAAGGCAAAGGACGAGAAATATTCTGAATGATTAAAGCAACCTTTTTTACCAAGAATGTCCGAAAGATGATCGGTAGAATTTACGTCCGGGCTTGTAAGTAGACAATTTATGACAGAGAAGTCAGAAGAACGCTCATCCAACCAGGAAGTAGCCAACCGGAACTGTAAGATGTGCAGTTATCTTGCTGGGATACTCCATTTCCATATAAATGACAGAAATAAATGGACGGACATGATCGCCCAGCAACTCCTCAATATACCGAATCGTATTGAGGAAGGTTGATACACGTACCAAAGATCTCAAAAAACTCTAGCCAAGAGAAAACATCCCAGACCATGAGTAAGCCCCCATGGCCTTGTACAGTTCCAATCTGCCATAGAGGGTTCATGGCTTCATGAGTCTGACGCCATATTCTCAGCCTCCCGTCGGTATTAATTAGTCGAAATGGAGACTCATTACTCCTTGCTACTCATTTCAAATCCACTAGAGTCTATTCTCTGTATTCTCTTGCCCAGGCAAGAAGTGCAGCTCAATGGCATGCATTCAGCAAAGGGACTCTCGTGGGTCTACTGCTTCCAAAGTCCATATGGTGAAGCAAGCGTTGCACGATGCTTTTACTGACTAGAGCAAGACATTACCACCCAGGGCGGCTGAGCTAATGTTTGGTTTCGTTGATTATGTACAATACGGCTGAGCTGTCTCACACCGCACCTGTTCTGGGTTAACTGTCCATTGCAATTCGCCGGATCGCTAGTTCTTTTTCCCATCATCTGTGTATTCTCGGTATATTCTTGACACTGTCGACCTTGAAAATCCTAGCCCACTGAGGAATTTGGAAATTGAAAGGCCCATGCGTCGAATGCCTGCTGTCTGTCCGAGATCGAAGCTGTCTAAATCAGAAGTTTTACCCGTACTGGTAATTTGAAACGATTGATGAACAACAACCATAGCTGTATGTGCATTTACCACAACTTCCTCACGTGAGCACAGATGCCGCGCAGCGCTATAAAATTTGCATAGCCATGTCCATCCCTAATTCAGTGGCACTTCATTCAGTGTATGCAGAAATCTGATTTCTGTTTGCGTTTCGTTTCTTAATTTTAAAATTTATCATTTTTATATCCGGTGTATAAGTATTCAGATTGTGCATTATACGCCGGAATATACGGTATATAAAATTATCGCTAGATTTTTCGAAGGTCGGATAAAAGCTACAAAAGATCAGAGAGAGCATCTGCTTTCCGTTGCTAGTTCAGAGCTAAATTTGGAGTATTCAGATACCCGTGAAAGCTTTGCCTTTTAGATGGCCTTTGCATCGCGTTGTGTTTAGCGTTCTTAGTAGTTTGAAGTGTAACTAGCGATTTGGATACTGTGTACAAGTATTGTTGCGGAAAGTTTCAGAACTGTAAAGTATTTCTTTTGGTGAAATATTAAATTTTATCTGTTCTGTGTGCGTTCAATCTGTTACGAACCCGTACGTACGCAACAATATGTCGATTTCTCTGACATTTTTCCATCTGTGCAATTATAATGCACCGATGCTCTTTGCACATGAAGTGGAAACATGGTCGCTTGCAAGCGGAAAGGAAAGCTTCAGGTCAAATTAAAAAGGATGTGAAAAATACTTTTAACATTTACGCTATAGTCGCTCTTAATTGTCATTAAACGCTTCTGTTGCCACGTCTAGTTAACTTAATGAAGTAATCATTTCTTAAGTTTGGATAATAATTTTACAATTAATCAGTACAAATGATAACCGCCTTCCTAATGATTTACTTTTAGTAGCTAGTTAACCTAAATTATTTGCTGAATTGATTTAATAACACTTGATTTAATTTTGCTCCTTTTTATTATACAGAAATGAATAAATCCTATTTTTGTTTTGTGATTTTATACTGCTTTGACGTAGCAGCAGTGGACTTGTATTTGAGAGTACTGAATTCTGCGAGTTCGATCTGGGTTCGAGGCCAGGTGAGAGATGATTGAATTTTAGTTTCCATGGCTTTCTCTCCCTGTTCAACGTGAATAACAGGTGTTTCACATTAAGAGTCTTCCATAAAGGCATCCTTTTCCTTAGGAAGACAGCCCTATGTGAGTAATCATATTTAAATCTCTTATCCTGCTAAATTTGCATCATATAATTAACTCCAGAAGAATTCTTTCATTGTTGTTTCTTTCGTTTATTTAAGTGCTTCATGGCACTTGGATTTAATTTAATGTATGTAAGAAAATGATCGACAAATACTTTCCTTATTTTTGAAACATGAACGGCAACTTAGTATAAAGATATGTTTTGGAACGGTGATATATATCACCGTTCCATTACTCGTATTCCATTACTAAACTGTTAAGTCTGACCTGATGTGCAAACGTTGCATTCACTACCGTATGAAAAATATATATGGCTTAGCAAATGCATGTATATGGGTGAATTCATTTGATTATTTTAATATAATACTTTGTTATTTACAATGCTAACACTTCAGTAATATTATTTTTCTCTTATAGACTGGAAAGGAAATCAATGAAATAAGCTACATTTTAGATTTTGAGCATTTTTCTCTACAGCAATGTACTTATTTTTGCGGTAAGTCTGTTTGTATTTCATTTTCCTTTTAGATCAAAAGATTAACAATATAATTTAAGTAACAATAATTGCTTTGTTCAGATAAATTCTTTATAGAATATAATGATCGTTATCAACATGGGAATAAAACAGCACAAAATTCATACATCTCTATTTTGAGGTATCTTTTCTCCTACTTAAAAATGCAGTGGTTTCTATCAATTAAAGAACAACGTAAAAAATCACCCAAAACAGCAAATTATAATGAAAAATTCTGATAACATATGGCGAACTGAGAATTTAATAATGAATTTGAAACAGCTTAAAATAATCTATACGAGAAACATTTTTCATGTGGCATTAACTCAAAAGCAGACTTGCCAAGGGGTGAAAACAGAATGCGAAGCTCTTAGATAAGATATATAATCACGTAATGCAAAGATAATCACTTAATACAATACTCTGTTGCTCTGGTAGGAAATTTAACACTTAACAAGCAATGTACGAGCAAGAATTTACCATTTTTATAGCTCTAAATATAAACAAATGAAAATGATAAGTATTACAGGAATGGGAAAGAAAAATGTCGTTATTTTAGAACATAGATAACAAAGGTTTTGCATGAAAAGCTCTTCGATGGAATCTTAACCGAAAGGAAAGGGAGGCCTTATCTGAAATTAATTCTTATACTAACATTATAATTTCTAAGTTTGATAAGGCTAGACAGATGGTTGTTATGAACAAACACAAATGCATTGACGGGGTCTCGGAACTGATAAATGAAGGCCCATACTACTAGATCTCTAAAGTTCCTTCAAATTCTGATCTCACGAAATTAAAAACATCTGTTAAATCTTCTCATATACTCCCAACTTACAAAAAATCCCTTATTGTAATTGTGCTGGTTTTGTGCCTTCCACAAAGTCCATAAATTTGGAATTCCGTTCCCAACTTAGGAACAGTATCATATTCTTTGATCAAACATTTAGTTTCCAGATGTTTCCCCTTTACTTTCTAGCAACATACACAGTGCAAAGCATTCTTTTGAAATCGTCCATTAAACTTCAAGATTTTTCTCTCCTGTATCCATTGTGGCTTGTTTTGATGTTAAATCACTAAATTCCATTTCATACATAGTGAAATTAAAGAGTTCATTTCTCCTAATAAAATCTCTTTGAGTTAAACACACTTAACACACTTTTCCAAAATGAATATTATTTCCGAATTGAAGGATAGGGTATGGGTAATCCCCCTCTCCTGTTCTTGCTGATATTTACATGCTTTATTTTGAAATCAAGTTATTTGAGAAAATATATTTTCGTCTCTGGATTCGCTACGTAGACGATACTTTCGTCTTTTTTTATGGTAATCAAGAAGATTTGTCCCAAATTTTATCTATTATGAATTCGATTGATTCAGCCATCCAGTTCACTTTCGAAGTTGAATTTGACAGAACAGAACACTAGGAAAAAGGGGCACCAAGACCCAACTTGTAGGAGAAGCCATACATAGTTAAATACCCCAATCCCTAGAGGCGACCCAAGCAGGCATACCCCCGGTCAACCGAGGGGCACAATTTCAGTTTCACAGAAGCTGGGTTTTGTAACGCTAAGACAACGGTGGACTTGGACGAATTTCTTAGACGAATCCACCGAAAAAACATAGTACGCATGTTAGACACCCACCGTCTTCCAGCGTTGATAAAGGGGAGCCACATCCCCAACGACAACCTTCGAAATCATGTCATGCAGAGTCCACCACCAAGCGGAAGACAAAACTGCCCCATATGGTCCCTGCCGAACTTAAACCGAAAACTGAATAAACGATGGTTCTAGTTACTGCAAAGACCGTTAATTTTTGTACAGTCGTCGAGACTGTCTAGATATTGACCTAGCCAGAAAGCTGGGATTGCTCCCAGTCGACCTCCGGGGTCGAGATTGAAGATAACAACCCCTTCCTTAATATTCTTATAAATCACAATGAATCTGATTTCAGTAAGACTGTATACCGTAAACCATTTTCTGTTTTTTTACCGCCACATGCTTAGTCATGTCACCGGCTAAGCAAAAAAAAAATGGCTTTTTTCTTCTAGTATTATTTTTCGCACTCTCAAAGTTTGTTCCTCAGAACCTCTGCTTGCTATTCAACTCAATTATTTGAGATCCGTTGCTACTGACCTAGGATTTTTTACCCGTTGTCATTGATAAAGCCTTTAAAAATGTTCCATATTGCCCTCAAAGAAGACATTCCTCTATTTGAAATAACATTTCCATTTCATGCTTCTGCCAGTTATAAAATTGCACGAAATTTCCAAAAGTTCAATTTTCAACTCATGTTTCTCGCCTATCAATAAAATCCATGGTTCGATTCTTAAAGATTAGATTTCTAAATTTTAATTCTTGGAGACTTTATAGCACATCGTGTCATTATGGTTTCAGATATATCGGTCAAACTAAAAAATCGTTAGAGTTTCCTATCAAGGAACGGGAATCTTGTGTCTGAAAAGGCTAAATGAGCAAGTCTTCCGGAGCTAATCATAGCCGGAAATGTAATTTTAATTTTTTTGATTTTAGGTCTGCAAAACTTATTCAAAACGTTCTTTCAACTGGCGAATTGGATTTTCTGAAGCCTTTTACATTCTCAAAAATTTATCTTGCTTATTTAATGACATTAAGTACAATCTTGTAAGGTATAAATGTGATCGTCGCATTGCTGGAATCACGTGAGCTGTTCTTGTTTCCTGATTGTTTGCTGAGTTGAGATTGCTGCACTGTGATAGAAAACATGGCGGATTTTTTAATTTGAGTAATTCTGAATCTTTATTGATATTTATATTGTTTCTACATCTATGTGGACAATTTAAAGAGCTTTCAGGGTGTGAATCATCCCACAGGGCACAGCCATCTTAATAACATTGGCTTCTTTTCATGAGATATTCATGAGATCGTTGATTTCGCGAACAGAGAACACAGCGTGAAGCATTACGACATGCCCATTGCATATGATTCTATCGTTGGCAATTAAAACATTAAAATGCTTCTGGTCTTGCCTTATAACTATGTATTGGAATCATCTGGAAAGCAGCATTCCAACAGATTAATAATGTAATTCAATTACAGCACTTCACAGTAAATTAACTGTCTAGACAATAATATTGATTACTTTTATCTTAATTTAATACTGTATAGACATTTATATTGATTACTTTTATCTTAATTTAATACTGTCTAGACATTCATATTGATTACTTTATCCTAATTTAATACTGTGTAGACATTCATATTGATCACTTTTATCTTAATGTAATACTGTCTAGACATTCATATGATTTTATTGCGTAGAGATAAGTTAATTAACTGTCAAGACAGAGAAATACCGCAAATAAAATTAAGACCAATACAAATGTTTAATCAAAATATGCAGCTTGTAAACCATAACACATCTAAATTTCAACTCAAAAGTGTTTTGCAATTTGTGCACTCTAAAACACTATTAGAAACTCAGTGGGAACTAATTAGCATATAATTTTAGCTTACTCTTACAGGCAAGCGATTGGCTGAAATGTAGCAATTGTTAATTCTTTTAAATTAATAAATTAATTGATTTTAAGCTTCGGAAATGTAATACCCCATATTTCATATCAGATAAAAGTTCGGCGCTGAATATTTTAAGTCACCAAACTCTACTCTTAGGGCGGGATCTCATGTCCTAACACCCACCTTATATCTTCTCAAATATTTATTAAACTGGCATATACCTGAAGTTGGTTGAGTTAGAAAAGCAGATTTATAGTATGTCAAAACAAAACCAAAATATTCAATTTATCTTGAATTATGTTTAACTTAAAAATAAACCTTAAATATAAATTATACCTGATATTCAGTTCTCATGTTACCACTACAAACGAACAAACCGATCCTAAATTTTAGTTTTCTATCTTTATTGAAGAATCAAATTAAAGTTTCTCCATTAGACGGGAAATGTTTACTTAAATACAAAAGAAAGTATGCAAACAAGAACTTAAGATAACATCAGATTTGCGCAACAAAATCCGACTACCAACAATTGAACTATACTAACTGCATTGTTTTTCATATATACGTGTAACTGGATTATAGTATTTTAATAACAGATAACTAGTATTTCTAAATTTTCATTTTTACTATATTTATTTTCCTTTCAGTTGTGGAAATGGGACTGGATTTGTTGAGAATGTTACAAGATTATTATCCAGAAATTTGGAAAAACATACTGATTGTGAATGGTAGATATGCAATTCTTTTAATTAAGATTTTAACTTTTTATCTTAATATAAAGATATTTTTATTTTAATTTATTTTAATTTCAACGTGATATGCGCTTGCTTTTACCTATATTTTTACATAATTCATTGTTATTTATTTGCCTGAGTTATATACTCTGAAAACAAAGAAGCAACAGTCTGCCATTTGGGATTGAATATGAAAACGTAAGCATTCGGTAACACTAATAAACTTAAAAATCTAAAACGTATATACCTCTACACTTATACGCACATTAAGATGATTAAAATAGTGCTAAATTTATCTCAATTTCGCATATGAATTATAAATTTATGCTATGAAAGTTTTTGAGTTTTGTACAATTTGAAAAAGATTACTTTTATGCGTATAATAAGATATTAAAGTTTCTTATTAAATATGTTCTTCATGTATCTGGATTAAATTTTAAGCATTTATAAAATAAAATTATCTAAAAATAAAATTCATTTCTTGCATTTGTAAAATGTTTTTTTTCATCATCAATCTCACTGATTTTTTTCGCCCTATCAAGGGCCGAGTAGTTAAGATTGTTGAATACCTGGATTTGAACATATGCGAACAAGTATTGGTCATTTTTCGTGGCTTTTCCAATGTGTAATACAGATACGAACTAATTCCCTTAGAACGTCTTCTCTGAAGCTGTCCTTCCACTTAGACATACGGCTGTGCGATGCCTTTTCATGTTCGGATAATCTAATAACTGAATTCTTCCTGTGCCTTGACGTAAAATATAATTTTTTACTTTCAAGAGCTGTTAGATTTTCCCCGGCGCTAGGGCAAGCACAGAAAATGAGCCTGATTTTTTATTTCCCATGAAGCAGTATCTTTTAACTAACATGTTGGAAGTATTCTTCAATTAGAATAATTCAAAAAATCCTAAGTATCCCTTTTTATCTTATTTTCCTCTGTAGGTGGCTGGTTTTACGAAATTCAACATTAAGACCTCGCAAACTATTAAAATAGCTTATTCACCTGATCTGAATTACATAGAATCCATTTATTTATAAGGTTCCAACCTTAAAGTTACAGCTATGCGTGTGGAACTTTGAGCGAATAATCGCTTTAGCTCAGGAAACAGAAACGTAAACTCAAGAAGGGTTAATCACCCTTTATTGCTCAAAATAACGATTGACAAGTGGCCCTTTCTCAAGACGTACAAAAAAGCCTGCTTTTGGGCTTGAACTCAAGAGTATTAAGAAAATCACACTTAACTAATGCTTAGCTAAAACGATATAGCCGTAGCTATCAAAATTCTACAGAAGTTGGCCCCTAAATGTTAACTAAATGGCGAAGCTATCAGGGGCCTGAAACACGGCTGATCTAGCTTAGAGAGAGTGTAGCCAAAAGGCGAACGCGCGCTAGTCAGAAACTCTGAGACTCTCTATCGAAGTCAGTGGAACTTCAACTTAAGTACTGCTCTTTTTTCATTTGCATTTAACCGCGATTCTTAAAGCACACTCTGGCAGGAAATTCGTAAGCTGAAATTAACGGGATAGGAAAGTAGCTTTAACTAAAGATCACTGTTAAGAACTTAAGATAAACCTTACATGTTCTTTTTTCTTTCTCTCGGAAATATTAGAGAATTATTCAGTATTAAAACTGTAATTCTGATTTTTTTCATAGTAGAAATATTTCGCACTACTACCTAACTTAGTTCACTTTTGTTCCAAGAAGTTAGTCGAATAAATTAGATAGCATGCTTTCTAAACACCGTTGACGCTATATAGAAATATATCTCGATACGAGAGAGATAATATGATGATTTATATTTTTCGTGGAAAAAATCGAACAAATATTTATCACGTCATATCCACGCAAAGAAAATTATCTCAATAATTAATACTTTAACCATCAAAGTTGATTAAAATTAAATAAACTGTTGATTACTAATAGTATATTTGTGAAGCGTATTGCATTTTATCAAAGGAATGCATTCCGGTATGCTGTTGTTCAGTATTTTTCAAATGGCCTGAAGAAGAAAGGTAATTTTCAAATAATATATATACTTTTCTCTGAGTAGACTTTTCCTACTCCGAAATCACATATACCGGGTGTAACAGTAATTTATTCTATTATAAACACACCGTCTATGAGATTATTGCGTTCTCTTTATTTTATTGATTTTTTTTTATTTTAGAATTTTCTTTTATTTATTTTTTATTTATTTATTATTAGCCCAAATAGGCGTTAGCCCAGAAGCACCTTTAATTTCGAAATGGCATTTTGCGTCGAGTCACTATAAACGGTTTTATCACTTTTTAAATTGTTGCCACCAAATAGTAGCGCCTCGTATTATATTTAAAAAAACTAAATAATGAAGAATTTACATGGATGTATTTATGTTTCTCGCAATGTGAAAAAGCAACGGTACACAGAGTCATCGAATTGTGAATTACATAGTAATCCACACGAACATGGGCACCTGGAAACCAAAATTTTGAATTTCGAATATTTTAATTGTCTGTTTCATATTTTGCAAACTTTTAAGGAATTTTTTATTAAAAAACTCAACAATTTCATAGCGAACAGTGGCAACATTGCAGGGAATACTCATTTTTATCTCCAGCGCCAGAGACTGCCTATCGGAAATTCTAAAGATTCACTGTTTTTAAATATTTTTAGCTTAATGTGGCGTTAGCCGAAATGCTCTCGAAACGAGTATGTATCTGTAAATGGACAAAACGTTCGTTTGGACGTAATTATAAAATCTGAAAGCTTTCACATTTTATTTCTACTTTTATTTTTATTTATATTTTTAATAATTGTTCCCATGTTCAATGCTATTGCACATTGTTGATTTATTTTGTTAGTGCTATGACTTACTTGTGTAAGCCTCATAATAGGCTTTATCGAACACGAAGAGTTGAAATTCACAAAAAATTAGTTAACAAAAATTAATAATTTTTTTTTCCATTTACAGACACATATACGTTTCGAGAGCATTTGGTCTAACGCCACATTGGACTAAAAATATTCAGAAACAGCATATCTTTAGAATTTCCCATAGACAGTTTCGCGCGCTGGAGATAAAAAAAAATGTTTTATTTCCTAAAGTGTTGCCACTACTCGCTCTGAAATTGCTGAGTATTTTAATCAAAAGTTTGTTAAAGTTTCATAAAATATGAAATAGACAATAAAACAAATTCCAAATTCGAGCTTCCAGGTGTCCGTGTTTGGGTGGAGGAATAAGTTATTCAAAATTTGATGACTACCGTTGTTTTTTCACAGTTCGAGAAACATACATACAATTATTTATTTTCTTTAAACAAAATACAGGGCGATACTATTTGGTGAAAAGTGATTCGACGCAAAATGCCGGATTGAGAGTAATAGCCTTTCTAGGCTAATGCCCATTTCAGAAAAAAAAAAAAAAAAAAATCGAGGCTTATAAAGTCTAAATACTTTCGTACAGGGTGTATGATGCCATGATTATTTAGTCACGCTTTTTCGAAAATCTATGAATCATATGAATAAATTTGTTTGGATAATTTTTTTTCAAAGAAAAAAGAAGAATATCGCTATAGTTTATGTGATATTTAAAAGACGTTTAATGCTATACTGACGATATACGTGACATAAAAACATAGCAGATTCCGAATGGGAATAGATCAAAACCAATCTCAAAATGCACCATTATTTATAACGTGTAACACTGAACTGCTATTTATTTTGATATTAAAATTGAAACCCGAAATTTCTTTCTTGCCTAATCTATTCCTAAAAATCTTAAAATCGCGGAAGTTGGTTTCTTTGATGAGGCATTATAAGTAAAGAGAAGAAAATCTCTATCAGGAAGTATAATACTTTTTCTTCTGTCTAAACCCATATGGTATGCAATTTCCTTTTGCACTACGTGAATTTTTCCCTTTAAATACCTATCTCAGATTTCAATATTTTCCTTTCAGGGTGCACCATTACAAGGTATTCCACACTGATGATGAATAGTTCTGTATTTATTCATCCTTTTCAACGAATACATACTTGTTTTCAAAATATTTCTGTTTATAAATGATATTCGTACAGTCACGAAAATTCATTAAAGCGACATTCGTACTTTAACGAATTTCGTACAGTCCGAAATCAACCATGTTTATAATCCACGCATTCTAAACTAATGAACCTCATTAATGTCCTAGATGACTTTATCGACATCAAACAAATGCCGAATTTCTCGTGCAGCAGTTATAGAGAAGGTAAAAGACCTCAGTTTTGGTGTGCATGTGAATATAATTAAAAAACAAATACGTATTTCCTTTTCCCTCTAAGCGGCAAAGCCGTATATATATATATATATATATATATATCCGATCAATGACAATAATTACATGTTTTAATTTTTCCTTTTACAATTGAATTATTATTCTTCGTGATGATTTAACTCCAGTCCCCGTTAAAACATTATTAACATTTTGCTTTCAAATTACTTCAAAACATCTTTCAAATATAACTTACCAGTATGGATGCACACTTTTAAAATAATTCTACTTTAATTAAACTTAGGAGATAATATAATCATTAATCAATACTGTTTAGGAAATAAATTATTATTAACTAACTTTGCAGCAATTGCGCAAGTAATAATAACTTGTATTCGCACTAAATGGATTTAAGTTCATACAACATATATATATATATATATACGGCTTTTACTGTATATGTATATATTTATACTCAGTATATATATATATATATATATATATATATATATAATTAAAGTTAAGCTGTAAGAACAAACGAAAAAAGACCAATTTTGGTCAAAATTTTACGCATTGTGCTGCAAAATTAAGGAAATTAGAAGATAAATTTTAGTACGCACGCCAAAACGTTACCCAAAACTGTGGCTCCGTGAAAACTTCATAAGCATATTTAGTTGCTATGAAATGTGTGAAAGAGGAGAAAAATACAATATTTGAAAATTTACAAGTAAAATTAATAAAAAGTAAGCTATATGCTAAACGAGTTAAGTAATTTTTAACACAGTAAAAAAACAAATCAATTGAACGAAGTAAAATAAAAATAGTAAGCTATATGTTAAACGAATAAAGTAGATTTTAAAACACAGTAAAATACTAATCAATTGATCAAGGTAAAATATAAAAAAAATATTAAAATTAAGAAGCGGTAAATGGTTAATTAGCCCAATTTCAAGTTCATTTTGGCTTGTCAAAGAAATTTTTAAAATGAATTTCGAACCAAGCTAACTCCATTACGCGTTTCGCCGAAATAGACAATTGAAACTTTGCACGACAAAATTTTTTTAATGAATTAAATAAACTATGTCAAAAACCTTAGTCACAGTTCTCTGTTGCAATTTCCCGATATATATATATACGGCCTAGAATAGTTTTTGTGATATGTAAGAACGTATATATATATGTGCATATTAAAATATGTCAAAGAAATTAAGGCAATATATCAAAAGTACACAAATCCAGGTATGAAATACCAGCAGAATTTTTACATTAAAATCAAAAAATAATTTGTTCTCTTAGTAGTTCTGGAGAATTTGTGCTTTCGTAGCGAAACCTTGGTCGCTCAGAGGGTTAAAAGCAAGAGGTAAATATTTCAAAATGCAAATTTCGATTAAAATTATTAAAACTGCGTGTGCGACTTATTATTCTCTACTGGCGTTCTTTCTCTGTTGCGTTAGTCCATTTGGTTTTCGCTGATAAACATTATTTAGATAAGATTTTGATCAAGAACTTGTGCTTGAGCAGTGTAACAAAGATTACAAAACATAAAGCTCTATTAATTGTTTTGTAAAACATGACGTTTGTCCTACCAGTGTTATTCTTTTTTTATACGCAGTACACATTCATATGAGGAAGGTATAAAACACTTTTTACTTCATGAAACAAGCAATATCTTGCCATATTCTTAATTAACATTTTAAAATTTATTTCAGCTCCATTTTACTTCTATCAAGCATTCAATCTTATGAAACCGATATTACGGCAAACCCTCTTACGAAATATTCGAGTTACATCGAAAGGTAAGCAGTTTCAATCTTTATTCCTCCAACTAGCGGCCAGTCCGACTCGACGAGCAGGCTGCGACCAAAGCAATATTCATAAATTCTATGTACTAAAAAACTGAAAATAAAATGAACTATTAGTTTAATGTACTCTACACAAAGTTACTAAAAATTTGCCAATACAGCTATTTGTTTAAAATGCTGACATTAACAAAATATTTTCGACATACAGTGACATTATAAGCTTACAGTAGACTTTCGACTTACAGTAGGCTTTCTTCCTTCAACAACGTCAGAATATGTTTAAAATTTAGCAATGTTAATTTTTTTTCAGATTTTGTAAAACTTACAAATTTTTATCAACAAACTTTAAGATTTGAAAGCGAGCAGTGGCAACAGTTTTCGAAATAAAGCCTTTCAAGTTCCAGCTCGCGCAACTGTTGCCACTTCGAAAAATGAATAAAAAAATTAGCGTTTTCATGGTTTTTAATTAATAACTCGGTTAATTAAAGTCATGAGAGACATAATTAAAGATGAGAATGATCTAAATGGCTTCCCACGAATATTTTGAAATACGGGGAATTTTGGAGAATACTCTCTGGAAACGCAGCTCTCCGCCGTTCCGGAGAAGATGATGTCACAAACAAATAAACAAACAAAAAAAGAAGAAAAAAGGTGGGGAAATCTGAAAGGATTCAGATTTTAAATTACGTCAAAGGGACGTTTTTTTAACGTTTTGTGTGTTATTTATTAAATGTCATGTTTTTTGCACTTAAACCATAAAATTAAGCTCAACAGCAATGTCGCAAAATAATTTTAAAATAAGCATATCTTTAGACACAGTTCCGCGAGCTGGAGATAAAAAGTTTTTTTTTCCGTAAGAGTGTTGCTATTGCTCGCTTTTAAATCTTTGAGTTTGTTAATCAAATATTCGTTAAAGTTTTACAAAATGTGAAATGATACTAAAACAAATTTCAAATTTGGGCTTTCAGATGCTCATATTCACAATAGGATTACGTCATTCAACATTGAATGGCTCTACGTACCGTTAGTTTTATCACGATGCGAGAAACATACATGCATTTATGCAGATTTTTTATTATTTAATTTCTTCAGATATAATACAGGGCGATAGTATTTGGTGGCAACGATTTGAAAAGTGATACGCCGTTTATAAGGATCCGACGCAAAATCGCAAAACGAAAAATATAGTTTTTCAAGGATAAAAACCCCTTTGAACTAATAAACAGACAGGCGCGCACAAATTTTAATATTACAGGTATTTAAAAAATTCCTGGTTGTTGTGTTAAAAAGAAATTAAACAGGATTATAGCACAACAAACAAAAATTTCTCGATATTTGGAGATGTGATTTATTGGCGTTTTGAAAGTAGTCTGTATATCCTTTCATATAAATAATGCCAACAGTTACGAACTACGACATCTAATCATTTAGCTTGTACGTGATTCCATTGTTAGTGCACGGATGATTCAGGCAATATAATAGGGAAGCTACTTCATTCTAAAAACAAGGAAGAAGTAATAATCACTCTAAATGATATGTAAAGAGTCATTGTCTTGGTTATTAGCAGAGGCAGTTTAATGTGTGCGAGCAGCTTTTAAGTTTTCCAAATAGCTAATATATTGTTTTAACTCACTTCTTAATACTGTAGAATTCCACTTATTGTATTTAACTTTAAAGAACTGTTAATTTATTTATGAGTCTTCCTAGTTTAAAGTCAAATGTATTAAATACAGCTAAGTGCAAAAATTTCATAATATCATGTTTAAGATAGGGTAGTATCAAATTAATGTAGTTGTTCGACTTCTAAATTAATACCATGTTTATTCGCATAATTCTTCTTCTCGCATACCCTCCCTAACTTTTACAGCATATGATTCAGAAGTTTCTGATTTAGAGTAGAAACGTAAAATACATGCACAGATGAGAAAGTACACTGAGTAAATATAAAAATATTCTTACCCAACAATGTACGAAATAAAACACATTTATCTCCAGCGCGCAAGACTGTCTGTCGGAAATTATGTAAACCTGCTATTTTTTAAACATGTTGTGATTTTGCTGTTGAACTGAACTTTATAGGGTGTAAGTTAAAATTTATTTTTATTTTATCTCTTAGATTTTATCGCTTCATTTTCAATAGTTTCATTCTTTTAGAAATGTGGTTTGGGCAACAGTTTTTCATTCAATTGTATACTGGACTGCTGACTGTTGAAAATCCGCACTGTTGCCACTTGGAAAATGAGGGCAATCATTCTGTGCAATTTTTAAATTTAATGTTTCTTTTGGGTACTGGACGTTTGTCGAGAGAAGGCAAAGGGAAGTTGATTAATTTATTTATTAGGATAATGAATATTTGTATTAAGGGATTTTTTTTAATTAAAAATTTTTTTTATCCTCGTGCACCACAAAGTATCACACGAGACTTACAAATCGTAAGTAAAAAAAGCAAAATAGTTTAAGTAATAACATCGAGTATTCAATAATACAATGAAATCATAACAAGGGAAAAAAACAAAGTAAAACAAAAAAAAATAAAAAGTATAAAAATGTATAAAGAATCATTAACAGTGTTAAAATAAAAGTCAACAAAATCATTGAAAGCTCGGTAGGCCGAAGTCGAGGATACAAATCATAACATTTCGGCGGCCGATGAATTCCAATGAATTTCAATCTACATTTCAAAAGATTTCTTGCTTTATCAAGCAGTGGGCAATCAAAAATCTTGCTGAACGCTAAGATTGCAATTACACAAATTGGAAGATGTCAGCTTAAATCGTTCAAGATAAACATTAAACTTACCATGTCCAGACAAAATTTGCGTAACTTTAAAATTGAGCAACAAATCCTTACTTTTCAGTCTTTCAAAAATAGTTGGGAAGAATGTTTTCGTAAAAGATCCATTATCAGAAGAGATATAATCACAGTTCCACCGCTCAATCATTTTAGCTTTGAATGTTTTTTTAAAATAAGATTTTGGAATATTTACATCAACGTTAATATCATTTTTAGTTGCATTCTTAGCAAGCCAATCAGCTCTCTCGTTTCCATAATTACCGAATGAACCACGGACAAATGTAAAAACACTGAAATACCCCTCTTCTCCAGATCTCCGACAGACTGCTGTATATTGACAATAATATCATTACATAAAGAGGTATTTAAGAGATTCCAGGGAAGAGAGTGAATCCGTACAGATTAAGTAGCTGGAACCCACGTCCATTCTGGCTAATTATCCACTTGATTGCAAAATTAATACACAGAAGCTCAGAAATATATACAGTACATTCATTTCTAATGCGAAATTGGTGACACTCAATTTCAATATCATCTTCAAAAATAACATAAGCAAAACCAACTTTATCATCAAGCCTACTGCCATCCGTATACAACACAAATGAGAATGAATTTACATCAGTGTCCGTACTATCCAGAATCTGTACTTGTTGTCTTACAGAAGGATGTGGTTGAACAGACCAGGGCAATAAACGATCAAAGTGAGAATTGGAGTAATTTGCAAGACTATTCTTGTAATCTATAAAGGTCAGAATAAACAAATCCAGTGGTGGAAATCCGGCAAGAGAGAAAACAGCATTGTAACTAATAGGATAAGTATTAAGGGATGTTGTTTATTTCATTGTAATTTTGCTATACGTAATACATATTTTTGTTTGCTTGTTTTGATTTTTTGTTTTTTTGATGAAGTTGTTCTGCAGAGTAAAATTCTGCGCAGTTTTTAAATTTAACATTTGCTGTTCCCTTCAGACATTTTTCCAGTACATTTAAAAACCAGACTAAAGCTGCTTGTGTAATAAATAAAGTTAACACACGAAATGTTAATAATAAGAAAATTACGCCCAAAGGAGCATTTTTTTTTTATTATTTGCACACACATACACGTTTGCGAGACCATTTGGGCTAATGACCCTTTGGGCTATAAATATTTAAACACAACATGCCTTGAAAATTTCCGATAGTCGGTCTGGAGTTAAAAAACTTTTATTCCGTACAATGTTGCCATTGCTCGCTTAAAACTCATTAACTCTTTACAAAGTATGAAAAAGATAATAAAACAAATTCCGAATTCAAAATTTTGGTCTTCCAGATAACTATATTCGGGTGGAGACGTACGTTATTCAAAATTTGATGGCTCTAGGTACCGTTGTTTTACCACAATGCGTGAATATGAATTTATGCAGATTCCTCATTATTTGATATTTTTAAATATAATACAGTCCATAATGTTGGTGGCATTAATTTGAAGAGTGATACAAGGCTTTTAATGATTCAACGCAAAACATCGTTTCGAGCCTAACAGCCTTCTGGGCTAACGCCTGTTTGAGCTCATAATTTTAACTTCTAAGAGTGTGAGAGAATTTTCGGTATCATTATCAACCGAATGGTTAAATTATATCCAGTATGAATAGTAACACTTTGAGTAAACTTTTATTGGACAGACGTTATGGTATCGCTGTTAGCAAAATTATGATGCTTCTTCACTAAAGCAAAATATCCTACGTTTTTCAAAAATGTGCGGAAATTGATTAACCTCTTCGTCGTCCGTAACGCGTCTAGCGTGTTCAAGTGAAACTTCCGCAGCGCGGCCGTAACGCGCCTCAAGCGTTCTACATTTTAAAACTTTTCAACGTTTCAAACGCTTTCTAAATGTTTACTTGTTTGAGTTTTTATTTTTGTTTGTTCTAATATCTCCAAGAAGGCAGCACTAATCAGGAATTTCTGTTTATAATTGAATTTGTCCGGGTTTTATGAATATTCGCGCCATTTTACATAAGACAGTGAGAGATGGCTTCAACGTCTACTCAGCAGAAAAAGAGAAAAAAGGAGGTTGTGAATTGGAAAAACAACAAGGCTATACTTGAGAGTACAGTCATAATAATAACTCGATGAAGATGTTGGAACACGGAAAAAGAACTGTAAAAAAACCAATAATTGTAAAAAATTACAAAAACAAAATGGGAGGAGTGGACCGCCTGCATCAGATGTTATCAAATTATCCTGCTGTTAAAAATAAACAGAGATACTATTATTTTTCTACTCTGCTTTATTTCCTTATAATTTTACTTAATATTCATTGACATTCATCCACTACGAAAGTCATATATGGAAAGTTATGATGCACAGAGGAAACAACATTACACGGAAGAACAGACGGAAGCTGTGGGGAAATTTTCGCGGACAGGAGAGGACGGCGGAAGGGTTAAGCGATAATGTTTTTCACAAAACATTTCAAATAATAAAAATATTTTAATATATGAATATTTTTGTACTAACTGCATTTATACTTATTAAAATTATCTATTTAAGTCATATTATGACTTGAAATTACTTGTCATTAGTCTATTGTAGTAGAGAGATTGCTCCTGTCTTTGACTAGAACCTTGAACACTAAATAGGTTACAATACGACTTCATAATTCTTCTCAGTTCCATCCCAAATTTTAATGGAAAGCATACCGGGAGGACCGGTCCGACGTCTCTCTTTTCACTTCCCGTACCACCAAGCTCTCAAATAGACTTTCGTTTCGCCACATATATAGAACGCCTCCATGCCGCAAAGACACTATACATTTACAAACACCCAGGCACAATTCCAGTGATATGAAATTATGCTTTGGTTATGAAATTATGCTGTTCCTTACAGTATAAGGTATTTCTCCCGCCTTCTTAGCGTGACTTCATGGTGTAGTGGTTCTGCACGCTGGGCCGGTATTCCAGAGGTCCATGGTTCGATTCCCGGCGAAGGCGATTGCTCATTTTCATCTTGCCTGCTTCCAAAAAGTACCTAATGTCTCTACAGTGGCGCCCGAACTAAAAGGGTGGGGGATGATGATTCTCCTCACCCAAGATTTGGCGATTGGGTCCGCTAAATATTCCATTGGCCCTTAAAAAAAGGGGGAGTATATAAAGTATTTTTACGCCTTCCTAGCATGCCTTCGTGCTGTAGTGGTTTTGCACGCTGAGCCGGTATTTCAGAGTTCCGTGGTTCGATTCCCGGCGAAGGCGATTGCTATTTTTTCATCTTGCCTAATGTCTCCACTACAGAATAATTTCTCTTTTAAGATAGGGGATTTGAACCTGCATAGAAAGTCTACATGGAACGTTTCTAAATATCAACATATTAAAATTTCCTTTCATGTATTTAAAAACTTTGTAAAATGAATACTAATATTTTGTTAATTTTTCCCTCTAGTAAGCCTATATTTTTATTGTTCTTTGTATCTTCATCAGTATGAACACATTTTCTTTAAATATCATTTTGTGTCAATGCATGCGGTAAAAAATATAAAAGTACTTTTTTTCCTACTAGAGGACACAGCAGGACTATTGCTGAAGTATGTGGACCCTGAAGTGTTGCCAGCGTTTCTTGGAGGCAAAAGGGTTGATTCGAAAGGAGATCCTATGTGCTCTGAATTTGTAGGTTTACATTCTTATTTCTGCATTAATATTAAATTTAAGATTACAGTTGTCCTTTCAAATAAAATACTTTTGAGTTTCATTGTTAAATTCAATTGTTGACGTATATACAATTAAATTCAATTTTTCACTTATACTTGCTACCGAAAATGATAAAAACTATTTCAAAAGTAATTAGCTTCTGCTTCATTATAAATACTAAAAATATACTTAGATAGTATCTTAAAAAAGTAACCTTAAATTTTCTACATTGGGGCATACATTCCGTGTGTGCTCTGAATTTCAGAGCTGACGATAGTGCAGTAAAAAATAATTAGATGTGTTTGTTATGTAGTAATTTGGTCTCAGGGGTTTTTCTAACTGTGGATGCCGTGGTTGGCAAAATATGGGCTTAAATGCGAGTTAAGAGGTAAAGAGTAGAACCCTTTCCGTGTGTGTTCTAGTGACAATGAAATTATTTTCTTTTCCCTAATGAGGTTTTGTTCACTGGTTGGTCTGCGGAACGGTGTTTCGATAAAGACTCTTATGGTTGTGACGCGTATGCTTTGTAGATTAAGACTGTTTAATGTGCAAGCGCCTACCTTTGTAAAATAAGTCTCGAATGGAAATAGACGCCAGTCTTTGTTATACGTTGCTTGATCAAAAATGAAGAAGAAAGAAAAAAGGAGGGAAATTTTGTTGAAGATGGGCGATTAAGAGTTTGCTTCGGCTACTTGTTTTGAGTTGGGTACTCAGAGGTTTTCGTCAGCCACTACTTTTGAGTCTGATGCAGAATTAGCAAAAATGAAGGGGAAAAAATAGATTTTGTTGAAAGAGGCCTCGGAAAGTTTCCTTCTGGTACTTTTTTTTGAGTAGAAACTCCAGTTTTAGATGAAGGTAAATTGTTCCAGTTTCTAGATTTCAAGAAATGATTTCGACAATTTACGAATAGTCAGAGATCACTGGCTCAAAGGATGTGCAGATTCGATGGAGAAGGTACTTTTTATTGACGACATATAGAAATAAAATGTGTGACAGTAAAGAAGAGAAAGCCGAGTAATGCGGTCATAACACTCCAGCGTAGGAGATATAGAAGTAAACTTGAGAAGCAGTCTCGACTTCAAGGAAGATGACCAGTGGTATGAAATGAATAAGTGCGTAAGATGAAAGAAACACAGGAACTCAAAAAAAAAAAAAAAAAAAAGAGATGGAGATGGCACGAGCAGTGCGATGTTCTCGGCGGGGGCTCCAGTTGCCGAAGCCTAAAGAGACGATTTCGGATACATAAGATATCGCCTTCTGTTTCCAAACTACTCCAAAGTACCTGTTCCAGAATGATATTTAGCGGAAGAGAGAAAACGGCTGCACCCTACGAACAATATCAAACTCCTCTATGTACACTGTGCAAAAAAAAAGGGGGGGCAGTTCTTTATCTCCCGTTTTACTGGACGATTGACGAAATTCATATTGCGATTTCCGTGTCTCGAAAGCGCGGCAAGGCATATTGTACCTAGATTCATTACGAAGCTATGCAGGTGTTGCAAAAGCATTATCATGTCACCTAGTCATATTAAAATGGTTTCAACATTTTGAACATATTGATTGAGACTTTTTGGCAATGCATCAACATCGATAAAGATAAGACAGGTTGATGAAATAATTCTCAGTATATTACCTATTGACCACTCTCATAACAGCACAAGTGTTGATATTCTGTTGGAGAAAAGTTTGCCAACAATAACCAGGCGCGAACAGTGCTACCACTATCGAACAGCGGTGATTATATTGAAAATAACTGTGATAAATCTTTATCATACTCCACTGCGAAACTTTCAATAAAATTTTCATGACCTCTAATGCTCAAGTCCAACTTATTTTTTCTATTTCTTACATATAGTATGTGTGCTATTATACAAATGACCCCCCCTTTTTTTTTCAACTGATTAAATTAAAATGTCCAGTACCTTTTATAATGCACCATTTATAATGATAAATAATCACAAAGAACCTTTTGTTGAACCTTTAACGATGGTTCACAGATTAGCGGTAATCTTTAATCCACATGCGTATGATATACTTTCAATGCAATAATGCAGCATACGAATGATGATTTGTGAACGCATGATGCTTTAGAACTTTGCGCTATTTTTCAGTGAATATTATTTTTTTCATTAAGCACTCATTCTAGTAATTGGAATCACAAATTGCAATATGAATAGTTTGCAACATGAAACAAATCTATCAATTATTGTGAAAATTTGAGGAAAATTATTTCTAGAACCACATTCGTGATCAGCAAATGGCCATATTATCGAATGTCATTAAACTCTATTGTTTTCAGTCTTTTCTATGATTGAATGAAATCACTGTTTAATCTTGCTTTCTGGTGACTTCCATATAACTAACATACATAAAATATTTTTTGTAATATTCAACGATGGCTTTTTACTTCCAGCCAAATAGCCTCACGTTCTTTCTTGTTCCAAATTAATTGGATATAAACTTACGCCTAGCACACAGTGTATCATGCAGCTTTAATTACTTTCAGTAATTAACACTGGGTAATTTAACATAAAAGCTGTAAAAATGAGGTGTAAAAACAACGATTTTCTGTTTTTTAGATAAAATATGGAGGTATGGTTCCTGAAGAATATTATGCGTGCAACAGAACTCATCTACCGAAAAAGGATCCCAATACAGAAAAAATATTAATTGCTGCCAGATCCTTTTACAATTATCCAGTTATCGTCCAAAAAGCGGATTCTTATATACGAATAGAGCTCAGTGCAAAAGGTGGTTCTATTCTCACTTCGCTACTCTACAGGCCATTTGATCAAGACTTAGAGTAAGTAACAAATATTTTGCATCATCAGTAACTTCAAGGTAACCAAGAATACAAAAACGAATAAATCCAAAATGAAGCAATCTATTTAAATGCGTTTTGTGATCAAAGAACAAATAAACCAGTTTTTTCTAGTAAATGTTTATAACAGCATTGACTAGATGGTACTTGTGCTTGCTTTAAAACGGCGGCTAGGTAAGCTTTGTGTATAGTGAAATGAAGAGACTAGAACATAACCTTTATATGTCTATCATAACTGGGTGTTCAATTGGTGGGAGGAAAAGCCGAGGTTAATTTTTCTCTTAGAACTATACGTTCATATCCGACTTTTAAAGACGAGGTCACTAAGAGTGAAACAAAATTGCCCATAAATGTGTCCATTGCAGAATGTGAGGGAAAACACCTCTAAGTATTCTTACAGTTTAGTCTCGATAGACAGAAAAAAGGCTTAGAAAATTAATTGTTCATTGATATCTCTTGGAGCTATCTTATAGCTTATCGAACATTTACGTGGAAATTCTTAAAAATCACCAAGAATTGCTGCATGAAAAATGTCTGGATTATCAAAATTTGGACAATTTTCGTGCAAATTTGGAAGTTGGTATTGTGGAATACCTTTTAGTCCTTTTTTCTTAAGTTATTCTTCATGTTATAAAAAGTCTCAATTGAATACATTGTTTCTCGTTTAAGTTATGAATTTATTCAACAATAAAGCTATTTTTCAAACATCCACCATTTTAATGAATAATGAGTACTGTCAAAATGATCATATAAAGCAACGAATGGTCTGCGATTAAAATCAAGGATATTAAAATGCTAATTTTAACACAGAGTTGTAAGGGACATCTAAACATTTCACTAATATGTCATTGTAATACTATTTTATCTCTCTTTCTGAAAACGTAATCTCAGGATTAGATGTCGTCAGTCCAAATTAGCTGTTCATGAGAAATCAAATTTTTTCCAAGAGTAGAGCATTTTCATTTAATGTACATTTTTAGAAGCAAATACGCCAAAAAAATTTCTTTTTCATTTGGAGAAATGTTTTCCCTTTCAATACCAGTATATGCAGGTATCCTTTTATTTAAAATGTAAGTTGTTTTAAAAGGATATGCAATATTAGGTCATCGGTATTAATTATTGACTCTTGGCGCTGATATATTTTAAATGCTAAAAGAACTATCTCTCACCTCCTAACACAATTCAAGAACTGCTGATTAGTGTTTAACAACGAATGATTAGCAAACATAAAAATTTAAGTGATATATTTAAATAGAAGTTTTCATAACTTTTCCAAAATTCATTAAAATTAAGTATGGAAGTCAGCTCAGTTTACAACTAGATATCTGGAATATTATATCATAAAATTTCAAGACGCAGACGTTTGCTTATCCTAAAATGCTCAGTAACAAAACCAATTTTTTAATTTATATTTTATGTAACTTGACTCGCACTGATGATAAAAAGAAGGCTCCAGAATCTCTCAAATTCGTCGCTGCACGTACTTAAAATATTGTATAACGTCTCATATACTTAAGTAGCATAAACTAACTAAACTTTAAACTTTAGTCTGTTTAGAAGACTGTATAGGGTATTATGACTTAAGTACGGCAAATCCCAGAGAAAGCTGTAAAGAACACTTTATTAACTCAAATTAGAGTTAAAAAATGGCACCCCCTCATGCTTAGAATATCAAGACTTGTATTTCTCTTGATTTGCGTTGGAAACATGAATGGTCCTGAATCGGAACAGGGAGCTTACTCAAGCTATGTTCAAGAAAGTGTGAAGTAGACAACACAAGCAAGAAGGGTATACGAAACCTTTTATTTTTTATCTTTTACAGGATCTTCCGAGCTTCGGAATACAAAGACCAACCACTTGTGGTCTGAACGTAAAAATATAAAAACTACTAACTAAAAACTAACTTTGAATTAGTATACAAATGCCTAGCACTAAGATTGGCCTTTATTTAAAGAAAGGTACGTATGTAGTACGCCGAGCTGCTTAAACTACAGTACGTTTGCAAATAACAAGAGAGCTAAATCTCTGGCCTTAAAGGCAACCAGCAACCGAGTGAAAACTCGTAAAACTACAGTGGCAAGCGGCTTGCTTCCTATAACTCCTTCCTCTCTCTCTCTTGGCAAAAAGCCAGAACTTAAGTACTTGGCGTTAGCAAGACTATTTGCATAAACAAGTTAAAGCATTTAATTCTGGCCGGAAGTAGAAAATAAGAAGAGATAATACAGTTTTAAAATAAAATAAACGTTAGTAAAACTTAGGATCCTTACAAGAAAAGCTAGCACTTTTAGCTTAACTCGAAAAGGTAACGAACATCCTAATATTAAATGGAGTTAAGTCTAGATTAATGGATCACAGTTACATAACACGTAGGCTGGCTCATGCTCGAAAATCGGCATGAACAATCCTAATGGCAAGAAACGCTCAATGTCACAGACGTTTACTTGCTAGTAAATCAAAAATAGCAACGTGATCTGCAGGCAGGCAGAACACGCTTTCTAAACTCACCTTTCAAAACCTTTCCTTAAATACTAACTTCTTTCTACCTCATTTGAATACACGTGCGCTAATTTACATCCTGGTAAGAAAGTGTGAATTGAAAGCAAGAGCGATAGGAAGGGTTGCTTCAAAATAAAATTAACTGTTAGGTATATTACATAAATCCCCATAAGTATAATCTGCTTTATTGATGACTTTTGATAATGGTCAATGGGAATAAAAGAAGACTGCTGCTAAGTAAGCAAAAGTACCGTAATCAGTTTACATTACTTGAATGATTTTAAAATTACATGGTTTAAATGGTTCTAGGAAAAAAGCCCACAGGAATAATGCTCACAGAATGATACTCACAGGAAAAGAACCCACACAGAAATATGCCCACAGAGAATGAAGCTCCACACGGAAAAAAGCTCACACAGAAGTATGCTCACGTGGAAATAAGCCCACTGATAAATAATTCACATAGAAGTATCCTTACATTTATGAATCAATAATTAATCTATTTGAACATCGTACACCTACATGAATTTTCTAAAGAAAAATTATTTAACTTATTGGTATATATTTCAAGAACTTTATAACTTATGTGTGGATTTAGCTGCTATATAAGATTAACAAATGTGCCGTTTTGAATTAAGAAAAGAAGGGGAGAAAAGAAGTAAAAATGAAAGAGAATTATACAGTGAAAAATTATTACAATTTTAATTGTTAAAAAAATAAAAAATTATAAATATAAGTTACACATTTTATAATATAAACATTTAGAAGAATAATGAATGAAAATTTAGAATGATTATTTTATTTAAATTACGTAAAATATTTAACTTTATCATCGATTCGATTTCATCATAGTTTCATGCATGATTCACTATTACCAAATTTAATTTTTCATGTTTTCTTTTTTTACTTCAGTACATCCTGTATTTATATTAGCTAATAACAAATGTTGAGAGGCTAAATCTTTTTTCAGCTCGTCAAATAAAAAGCACATACTGGGATGTCTACAGTTAAATAATGAATTTAGTGCGTTATGAGAGCCTTCGCAACAATTTGTGGTTTTAGAGATTTTTCGAAGGCTGTTTCATAATGTTCAACTGAGAGGCATCATCAAAATGCCTAAAAATGTTCATTTTATTTCTAAAATTTTAAATTTCTGCAGAAATTTTACAATTTTTCTGGCTCCAAACTTGAAGAACTACATTCAAACATCAATTTCTATCGATACACATGAAAAGTATGCAAAAAATAGAGTAAAGAAACAAAAATTAATTATTGGAAGTTACAGGAAAAAAATGTCGTGCAGGGGCAGTGGTATAAAATATTCCAGTACATGCAAAATTTTGCGACAATTTTCATGCTTTTATTTCCTGCCCCTGAAAAGGTTAATGTGAGCATTTGTCTATGTGAACATATTTCATGTGAGCTTTTTTCCGTGTGAGCATATTTCTAAGTAAGCATTTTTCCATGTGAGCTGTTTTCTATGTGGGCATATTTCCTTGTGGGCTTTTTTCCTGTCAGCTTTTATATTGTGAGCATTATTCTGTGAGCACTTTTCCTGTGGGCTTTTTTCCTGTAGGCATTTTTCCGTCCACCGGTTTAAATACTCTAATAAACATTTAAAATATTACTAAAGGAAAACGCTAACTGTAGGCAATGGTTTCATAGAGTTACATCTTCATGTTCCATGGCGCAATGTGTAGCTATTATGAGTCTTACTAATTATTAAGTGAATAGTGGAATTTTTGCTTATATCGAGTATAGTTTCACAAAGAAAGAACAGACTGAGTGCTTTTCGTTTGGGCTCCCGATTTCTCTCAGAAATTGATACGTACACCAGATCAGAATTGCTAATAAATTCTCCCTGGTTTAAACACTGCAGATATACATCATTGCGAATATTTTTTACTTTATACTGATATATTGTTTTTCAATATTATGTGTATAAAGTAAACAAATTCTTTTAAAGAATTTCTTTTCTATTAGGAAACCCAACATACCACGAACAGATGAACGTCTAGATCCGCATAACGAGGAACACAATATTCGCCTTGTCAGCCCACCCATTAGGCTTCAAGCCCATCTACCAATCAATTACCACAAATTTGTTCCGTGGCCTGGTATTTGTAAGTATAAAAATAGGATATTTTTATGCAAATGATTGTAAACTAAAGAAAAACGTGTGCATACATGTGACAATAGAAGTGCAAATGCTTGTGATAGTTTATAGCAGTATAACTTTACATGTGATTTTACTAATTATGTTCCCTTTGTTGTTACTATATTGCTTTCATTATTGAAGTTAATTTATACACAGATTATAATATCATTTGTTTGTACTCATACAAATAGTGTAATAACTTATTTTTTGAATGCAGTTTTATCTTAAATACAGTGAAACCTTGAACAATTTTTTCTTACGCGAGCTTCATGTAAAGCGACATCATAGCAAAATCAATCTGAGCATAAACATTGTAATGCGAAAAGTCAGGAATATAAGGGAGAGGTTGCCAGTTGAGTTACTGTTACATTATCAAATTGGTGAATTATAAACCCACAGTTGAACAGCCATTCAAGAAACCTCGCATGATTTTTCATAATCCAGCTTATTAGTCTATCCAATGAATCCACTGCTCTACGTTTATCGACGATGAAGTCAAAGACAAAATCGTAGAAAAGCATTAAAAGGGCTTATGTACATATTCTGCAACTATATGAGTACACTTGCATATACTATGTACATATTCTGCAAATATGTTTTAATTTTTATAACTTTTGTATTGTCTATATCTTCCATTTGTAAATTTTATCAATCAATTTGTTTGTATCGGCATAACAGGTATCCTCCACCGCCCCTGTTCTGTAACTTCCACGTCAAGAGTTCATCTCTTCTGTATCGCTCTAGTTGGCTCCACATAAATTTGACTTCTCTCATTTTTTACATGCACCTTCTAAGTTACTCACCAGCTCGAACCAGTCCTAATTCCATCGCCGTTCAAAGGCAAGGTATCTTAGCGCTTATTCTTCATACACCGCAACTTGCCTGGAAGCAAATCCAAAGAGAGGTTAACGCCTATATTGGCTAAATGCTTGTGCACCACCACGATCCACGATTTCCGTGTGTACTTCGCACATTGTTATTCACCTTGTAAGATCTGTCTCAATTATTCCACATAAACTAAATTAGATCCTACAATGAACCTGGCGAATTCTCGAACAGGCGTGAATTAAATACCAGCACAGAAGAAGGGTGAAAATAACCCTTTATTAATTCACACGAATTAACAGAAAGGCACGGACTTCGTGCGTTACAAACACACCGACCACTTGCGGTGGAAACTAAAACGTAGAATATAATACAAGTCAACCTGAAATAAATAGTGCAAGAATGCACTTAAGTTTACGCCTAAGAGGTTGACTCACAGGAATCTAACCGACGTGATACTACTCTAAAAAGGCCAAGAGGCTTACTAGCGTGACCGCGAAATGACAACGACACGTGCTCTTGGCTAGCGAACACGCTCTGAATAAACTGATATATTCACAAGTTTAAATAGCACTTCACTTAACTTTAAATTTACATCCTGGCGAGAGAATGTGAGGGGAAGTTGTGAAGTTTAGAACAGGTAATCAAACTTAAAATAAATTTGTTATGCAAAATAAGGAAAACCCTCCAACCTTTGATCTTGCTTTAATTTAAATTTGTAACTTTTGTACTGTAAATTATTAAATAAGATATCAAGCGACCGAAAACGGGTAGTGATAGCAGAAAAGTGAGAAGAAAAATGACTAGAATAGCGGTAGAAGTGATGAAAGAAGTTAGGTATCAGTGTCTCCGATCTTGCTGCTCAGTTAAGTTTGGCAAAATGACCTACATTATTCTCAGCAGCAACGACCAAGGAGCTGATGTTGCAAGAGGAACGACAGTTCTTGCGAAACAAGGATCGCATAAGCTTGAACAAGTGAAGAAATTACTGCTCATTTGAATAAAACAGCAAATCCTAGCTGGTACAATGTTTCTGAGGCCATCGTTTGTGTAAAAGCAAGGCGATTGTATGGTGATCTGATACAAAATAATACCCTGGTATAAATATTGACGTTGATATTTTCGAAGCTAGCAGAAGGTGGTCTGAGAATTTTAGGAAACAAAGCGTAGTTAAGTAGGAAGAAGCTGCCAGGACGAACTAAAATGCTGTTAAGTATTTGGTGCAACATTTCCAGGATTTCATAAACGTCTGAGAGATTAATTCCCGAGGAAGGTTTAATTGCGATGAAATAGGTTTATTCAGGCAAAAAATGCAGAGGAAATCATACATTGCCTATGTAATAACTTACTTAATCTTCTATTATCGGTGGTTCTTGTATTCTATTGGCCAAACAAAGACACTTTCCTTTAACTAAATCTATTTAATGAAGAGAAGACTATGTACTAGTATTATATACAGATTACAGGATATCTAGTTTATACCTCTCTCAACCACTCTCATCAAACTCTCAACCCTCTCTGCTGAAAACTCTTAATTAGCTAAACATACGGGCGGCGCAGCGCCCTCTATCTCTTTTTTCTACAGCTTAAGAGGAAGTAATATTACTTGGATTAAAGACAATGAAGAATAGACTAAAGATTGTGCTTTGTGGAATCGCAAATGGAGACTTTAAGGCTAAGCCTTTTTTTTTTATTTTTTTTTGTGTGTGTATGTGTGTGTGTGTTCCATTCAGATAATCCGAGGATGTTTAAAAATACAATGCGATAAAAAGCAAATAGCTCGTTATGTGGATAGCCAACTCTAAGGCTTGTATAACCAGGCAATTTTTTATCGAGTGGTACATGAAGTCTTTGGCCCAAGTATGAAGAAATACAAGAAAACTATGTACCATTAAAGTGTCTTCTTGTAATAGAAAATGCATCTGCTTGACTTCCACGCTTCGAGGATCAGTTGAATTAAGAGTTAGATTTCATCGTTGGGAAGTTCTTGTCTCCTAATTGTCTCCTCTATCCTAATTCACGGATCAACAGGTTATTTCAAATTTCAAGAAATTCTACATCAAAGCTCATTTACAAAGATGCTTTAAAATAACCTCTGACACAGAATTAATACTAAGCGACTTCTGGCAGCAGCATTTTAATATTCTCCATGAAAATCTCATTGACGAAGCCTAGCAGCAAGTGACTTATAGGACCATGAATTCAGGTTGGGGGAAATTATAGAGACTTTGAATACTCTTGTAGAGACATCAGGTATTTTTTTAGAAGCAGGCAAGATGAAAAATGAGCAATCGCCTTCCTTGGGAATCAAACTACGGACCTCTGGAATACCGGCCCAGCATGCTGAACCACTACACCACGAAGGCACGCTAGGAAGACGGATATACTCCCCCTTTTAAAGGACGACTGGGGTTTTTAGGGGACCCAATCGCCAAATCCTGGATGAGGAGAATCATCATCCAACATCCTTTTAGTTCGGGCGCAACTGTAGAGACATTAGGTTAATTGGAAGCAATGGAGATTGAAAAAATAACAACCGCCTTCCGCCGGGAACCGAACCACGGACCTCTGGAATACTGGCCCAGCGTGCAGAACCACTTTACCACGAAGGCATGCTAGTAAAGGCGGGAGAAATACCTTATACTCTGACACTGAGGAGGCTCTGGTTATCGATGACAATGTGACTTTAGGGCAAAAATATGAGTTTGGAAGCTAACGGTGAAGACGTGAAGGAATTGCTAGGAGACCGCAAAAACGAACTCATTTCGGAAGAACTGGAACAACTTCATAGACAACAAACGAAAGGTGACTGTGGTGGAAGTATCTTCATATAAGGAAGCAGGAAGGAAGGAAGTTCCTATTTATTCAATCCACGATATTTGGCCAAAATGGACTCATAAGCTTCATAGAGCATTATCAGGTTCAATGTTCCGTCTTACCTTCTTCGGGAACATGCAAGGACCTGACTCGGAACAGAGAGCTTACTAAAGCTATGTTCAAAACTGTGGGAAGTAGACAGGATACACAAGAAGGGTATACAAAACCCTTTATTTTTCTCTATTTACAATAATTTCCGTACTTCGGAATACAAAGATCCACTACTTGTGGTCTAAACGTAAAAATATAAAAATAAAACTAAACTCTAATTTAACTTTAAAATCATAAACGTGGAAGATTGGCCTTATATTAACAGGAAGCCGTATGTAGTACAGAGAACTGTGAACACTACAATACGTTTAAAGTTATCGAGAGGATTAAACCTCTGGCCTGGAAGGCAACCAGCAACTGAGTAAAACTTCTAAGGTAAGCGGCCTGCTTCGACTAACTGCTTCCTCTCTTTCGCTTGGCAAAAAGCCACAACTTAAATACTTGGCGCTCGCCAGACAAACTTTGCATAAATACATTAACGCTTATAATTCTGGCCGGAAGTAGAAAATAAGAAGTGATAGTAAAGATTTAAAATAAAATAAACCTTAGTAAAACTTAAGATCCTTACAGCAATACCCCCCTGAAAAAACACTAGTAAATCGTAGTATAAATATTTTCTATGACAATGTCCTCTCTTAATTTAGGAATATTTTAAAATGTAGACAGAAACAAATCACATTGTATCAATTTTGTCTTAGCGATTTTCAAGTACTAGCGAAGTGCGCTGAGAGAAACAAAATTAATGAAATAAAAAATAAAGATGATGATGAAGAAAGACAGTAAGTACATGATATTTTAATGGCAATAAAATAAAGAAAGACACCTAAATATGCATAAGTAAACATTTCAAATAGAGGAACGAATGAATCCATTTTACATAAAAATACATACTATGGAAAAAATTGTTTCGGTCAACGAACATTTCGGATGACGAACTATCTTCGGGAGTCGATTAAGCCTGTGAATCAAGATTTTATTGTATACTCAAAATAGTTAAAGCGATTTAAAATGGCATTACTATAAGATAATAAAAGGAAGTTTCTACGTTTTATTTACATATACACTGGTGTGCAAAAATTAAGGACGAAGTCGAAAAATTTGCATATCAGCTGAACGAAGAGGCAGAGCGGACAGAAAAACCAATCGGGAGATTAAGTAAGGTGATGTACGGTAGCACATGCGCAGATATGCAGGTAGACGGGGGAGTGTCTGAGTAGTATAAAGCATGTTGTCGGTGTAAGATCAGTATTTCTGGCAAAGAGATTGCACGCCGTATAGCAGTTAAAATCACACCGAGTTGCTGCCTCAGCGAGAAATGGCGAATAATCAATCTGTTAGACGACATCTGGATGCTTTTACCCGAGGTCGAATCATTGGGAAGTTGGAGGAAGGCCGCAGTGTGACAAGTGTAACTGCAGAGTTCGGAATTGCTCACAGCATCGTTTCACAACTTTGGAGACAATTTCAAACTACAGGAACAGCTATCCGGGGGTTTAGTAGTGGTCGTCCACGAGGAACCACACCTGCAGATGACCGGTATATTGCCTTACAGGGCAGAAGAAACAGGCGGCAGACAGCGGGTGAAATCGCTAGACACACGACACAGGCGACTGGACGACCGATATCGCGTTTTACCCTGGCCAGAAGACTGCACGGTGGTGGTCTGTTTGCACGACGCCCTGTACGGTGTGTACCTCTAACGCCTACCCATCGGAGAAGGCATTCTCTATGGTGCCGGGAACACCGGAATTGCAGAGACAATGAATGGGGACGAGTACTCTTTACAGATGAGAGCAGATTCAGTCTGAGTAGCGATTCTCATCGCATACTCATCTGGAGAGAACGGGGAAGCCGCAATCATCCCTCGAACATCATTGAAAGGGACAGGTATGGAGGTGGCGGTGTTCTCGTTTTGGGAGGCATCATGCTTGGTAGTCGTACAGACCTTCACATCTTCGACGCAGGTTCAGTCAACGGGACCCGTTATTGTAACGAGATTCTTCTTCCATATGTGCGTCTTTTTAGGGGCGCTATGGGTCCGCAGTTCCTTTTCATGGACGACAATGCACCATGTCATCGCACAGTAGCTGCCGAACAGTTCTTAGAGAGTGAGGATATTGAACGTATGGATTGGCCGGCACGATCTCCGGATCTCAATCCCATCGAGCATGTATGGGATTTTCTAGGCAGAGGCTTGGCAGCTCGTACCTTACCACCAGTAACGATTCCGGAGCTTCGATTGGCGCTGCAAGAGGAATGGGCAGCAATGCCTCAACAACTCATTGACACCCTCATTCTCAGCATGGGCAACGCTATGAAACCTACCTAGCAATGAGGCGAGATCATATCCCCTATTAAAGATCGGATGTTTCTTGCTGGACACCCATCACAGGGATGTTTCGGCCTTCAGTCGCATTGCGCTCCATGCTACTTTTTCAATAAAGCTTCTTTTTATCCCTCTGATTTCTCTTTTAGTAAGTGTTGCTTACATTACTCATGTCCTTACGTATTGGGGATCTTACGATATTAAATGTGTTGATTTGGAAAGCTTTTGTACAAAGTTATCTTGAAAAAACCGTCTCGTCCTTAATTTTTGCACACCAGTGTATTTAATTTAAAGTTCTTTAATTACAGAAACTGTTTCAAGACGATTAATTTTTAGTCCAAAGGAACTTGATTTTTAGTCCCTTATGGACAACTGTTTTCTTTTTGCGATTTTGCATTAAATCACTATAAATCTCCGTTTCACTTTTCAAACTGTTGCCACCCAATGTTAGAGTCCTGCATTATATTTGAATAAATTAAATAATGAAAAATCTGCAGAAATGTATGTTTATTTCTCGCATTGTGATAAAATAACGGTACATAGAACCATCAAATTTTGAATGACGTATTCCTCCTACAAATATGGGGATAGGGAAGACCCAATTTGAAAATTGGAATTTGTTTTATGCTCGATTTCATATTTTGTAAAACTTTAAAGAATTTCTGATTAACAAACTTAAGGATTTCAAAGCGAGCAATGGCAATACTCTACGGTGGGGAACCTTTTTATCTCTAGCGCGCGGAACTGTGTATCGGAAATTTTAAAAATAGGCTCATTTTAAAATTATTTTGCTGCATTGGTATTGAACTGAATTTTATGATTTAAGTGCAAAGAACGTGAAAATCATTTAAAATCTGAAACCTTTCAGATTCTGTTTTATTTCGTACTTTGAGTATATCATTTTTTGCTATTTTTCGTAGCAAAAATAATGTGCCTTTTTTAGTTTATATCAAGTTTGCATGCAAATACGACATAAGGCAACATATTTAATACCCCCTTAATGGAAAGCAAGAGCAGAGTAAAAACCTATCACATATGTTTCTGCTACGCGGGAGTGGACATCGAAAGGGACATTTACTATGAAACCGCCCATTTCCACGAAATCCGCGTAATTAAGTTACCATTTTCACTTACTACAGAAACGTGAACGCCAAACACTAATCGATTACCGCTCAGACTGGGATCGCTTGATACTTCAGAAGCAGAACTTTCATCTGATCTGTTGATCTCTACGCGGGACAGAGCTGTAGACGGTACATTTTCGGCGCAGTTTCAAAATATCCCACGTAGCCGGGACATCGCTTCCAGCGGAGCGTTTTCTTCTAGGAATCCTCCCGTTTAAACCAATGCTACCAGAATCTCGTTTCTCAGAAATGTTCCGTGTAGGAGGAACCGTCGTTAGATGTGATTAATTCTTAAATCTTGTTCCCATGTTATGGTTCTCAGTACAGAAGGAAAGAAATTCATACAACTTTCATATTCTTAATAGTTTTCCTACAGAGCGATTTATTTTGGGGCAGAAAACAAAAAACAAAACAAAACAAAAAATCAATGATGCCCTTCGAACCCCATACCTCCCGACTGCCAGCTGGATATGTTTCCGACTGCATTTGAAAGAAGTAAGAAAAGAAATGATAGCTTACAAATTTGCGTTAAAAAGTTCAGTTGGTTGCCTTTTATCAGATATAAGAATTTTATTTCCGATATTTTCTTCACACTCTGATAAAGGATTAATTTCGTGCCATGACGTTGTTGACAAATAATCCATATAAGCTTCAGTTAATAAATTCTGGTATTTATATATTGCATATATGTTTACTTTCTTTTTCTTTTTCATTATTTCCATTTCACATGATACACATTATTTTTCATATAAATTAATGCGGTTTTCATTAAAAATGTTTGAACATTCAAACTATACCATTATCTTTTTACAGATATATTCAAGTTCGATAACACTCACAGCTGGATGAAATCAAGAAGAATTGACTTCAACATTCAAGTTGAACCTCATTGCTCCTGATGCTTTTATTAAAAGAATATGGAAATCTTATACAACTGCACAACAATTGTTTGAAAATGGCAATGCAACTGTGGAAAACTGCATAGAGGCCGATTTCCTAAATTTCAGGAAAATAATCATTCTGTTGCTCTCTCATCTCATTTCATGTGCGATTTAGATGACATTATGAAATTATTTTTCAAACTTTTCAATATCATGGACGTTTTCCTTCAAAAATAATATTACATTTTTAATTAAACAATTTAATAATAAATAGAAAACAAAAATTTGTTTCTTTAGATAATAATATGAATGAAAAAACACCCCTTTTAGCATAATATGAAATCTGAAAGCTTTCAGATTTTTTTGAACTTTTTTTATTATTATATATTATGTATTTATTATATTATATAAACATTGATGATGATTTGAGTTTATACAAACCAAAAATTATAAAAGACAATTGTCTGATATAATTGGAGGAAGAGATATGAATCTGTAGTAAGTATGTCATATTGCGTGATCAAGAGTCAATTCTAGTAAACCAATTTAAAAGCAATTCGGGAAAGATAAGATATCGAGAGCTAAGAAGTGGGAATGTGTTATCAAAAAACGCAACTGAGTCGCATAGATAGAGATGCACTTTTCAATTTATCGGGCAGAAGGCAAACGATGTCGAAATCCACAAACCAGAAGTACTGCGACGTGATGAACGAGGTTCCCGAGTTCAATAAGCGTAAGAAAAATCTGCCATGCTTTTCTTAAAAATATCCATTATTTCACCTTCCGTATCATTTGATTCATTTTAGAGCATTTTATGGAAATTATTGTGACTTTCCTTATATGATACTTTCTCATCAATGTAAAGCTATGAATTGTTTAATGCGTTTCAATCAAATCTTTCGCTGCTTTTTATGACATAAGTTTGGAAACAAAAATATTCATTTCTTTCCTTTTAAATAGTTAAAAAGTCGTTTGGGTTAGCTCAAAATTGTTTGTTTTACGAAAATTATAGCTACAAAACTCATTTTTATGTTCATTTATGTATATGTTTAGAATTTTGTCGCTTGATAATGCTAAACTTGTGCTTACTTTAAATATTTCTGCAGCAGCTTTTTATCTCCTTTTTGAAGTTCCTGATTTAATACTTCTCTCTGTTATTAAAGAATGTAAACAACAAGAAGCAACATAATATGAGTAAATTTTGAAGGACAAGTTTCAATGGTTTAAGTATAGAACAATCTTTTTCAATCACAAGTTGCCTAAGTGCAAATGAACGAGATAGAATATGGTGATAAGCATTACAGGAAAGAAGTCAGGCTGCTGGCGCCATCTATCGATGAAACAAGAAAACTAAAACATAATTTCCTCAAACGCTGAGGGTAAAGATGGACTTGAATTAGTGTCGTTAACTGGAACAAAAAGTTTTATTTGAATGTGAAACGTTTAAGAAAATCTAATTCAACAATGCAAATTCTTTTGAATAATTTTGGCTTCAGAAAAATGACAAGTGTGATTTTCTGACCAACAGGGCTCGATAATAGAGATCTTTTTATGATTTAGACTTTCTTAAATACCGTTACTTAAAAAAATGGAAATGTTTCAACAAAGAACCCCATGCAGATATACGGCAGATTTAAATGAAAGAAATTGGCGCCATCTATTGATTGACTACTGGCGCCATCTATTGATGAAAAAGAAAACTGAAACATAATTTCCTCCCAAAATTAGGCTGAGAGTAAAGATGAATCTGAATTAGGGTCGTTAAGTAGAACAAAAATATTTTTTAAATGTAAAACGTCTAAGAAAGTCTAATTCAACAGTGGAAATGTTTTTTGAATAATTTTGGCTGCAGAAAAATGGCAAGTGTGATCTGACCAACAGTGCTGGGCAATAGAGATCTTCATATGATTTAGACTCTCTTAAATACGATTACTTAAAAAAGTGAAAATGTTGTTTTAACAAAGAACCTTATACAAACAAACGGCAGATTTAAATAAAAGAAGCTATAAAACATAGATATATTTGCTTTCCTTCATTTATCAACTCTGAAAAATTGGAATAGTTCCCACACAATTTCACAAACTATATAGTGATTTAAAAAGTAATTAAATTAAATTAAATTAAAATCACTAGCTGCCATTTGCTACATTAAATGAACAAACTCCAAATATTTACATTATGTTAAATTGAGTCAAACTTAGGGCCCACTAATGCCACAAATTCAGCAAAGATTTTAGAAAAATAGTTCAGTTACTTTAGTATTAAATATAATAGTTATTATTATTAATAGTTATAAGTAGTATTAAAATTACTACTTAAACTTAATCATTCAAATTCAATAGTTAAATAATTCTAGACCTTCAAAATCTAAACCTTTACTATTTCTCATAGCCATGTCGATATGATCGTATAATGGATTTTCTTGCATTTGTGCCAATGTACAATGGATTTTCTTTAGTACATAAAATAAACAAACAGAGTAAGTTAAGTGTGAACCATGCTTAGTTCAGTAACTAGCAAGTAGATTTTCAAAAAGAATTACAATTATTGAATGTAAAAGCTTTATTTGTTGAACCTTAATCAATAGGAATACACTAATTTCAGATTACTACAAATGTTACAGCATTTTCAATAGCTATTGTGAGGACTAAATTGCTTTCTCGACAAAAAATAAACTATCATGATATTTTTTTTTCTCTTTTCACTTCCTTATGTGAAGTAAAGGAATTATTGCAATCGCAAATATTTCAAGTATCATATTTCAAGGGAAATATCCAATTTGATCGTTCCAGAATACATTTGAATGATTTTTGTCGTGACATCTTGGATAGAATTATGGATTTTGTTTGCCCCAAAACGGATTGTAAAATGGATCTAAAATAGATTCAAAGAGATTTTTTCGTAACTCCTATATGTACATAAGTACATATGGGAGCCCAAAATTATTAATCAAGCAGTTTCCCTTCTTCTCATCAATTAGCTATAAAGTTGCACATATTTTGCAGAAATTTAACTTTCGGGTTGTTTATCAATAAAATTCCGAGTTCCATACTCAAGGACTCCATTCTGGATATGAATTCCTGGGGTATTTATAGGATTCCTTGCCAGTGTGGTTTAATTTACATTGGCCAAACTAAGAGAGCCTTAAAATTCCGCGTCAAGGAACATGAGGCATACGTAGAAAAAAGGAAACACAGAAGTCTTTTGTTGCTCAAACATTGTTGGTCCGAAAATCACACTTTCAATTTTTCTGCTGCCAAAATTATTCAAAAAACATCTTCCATTGGAAAACTGCATTTTCTAGAGGCATTTCACATTCATAAAAATCTTTCTGTTCTAGTTAACGATCCTAATTCCAATCCAACTTTTCCTTCGGCCTTTAAAGAAATTATGTTTTAGTTCTGGTTTCACCAACAGATGGCGCCACTAGCTTATTTTCTGTCCAGGCTTTCTTATCTTATTTGATCATTATATCCTATCTCGTTCATTTGCGTTTCTGCAGGTGATGATGGTGGTTCGGAAAAACCATCGAAACTAGTCCTGTGAAAATTTTGTAAATATAACGCTGATTTTTGTTGTTTGACTTCTGAATTAGTATTTATTCGGCGTGTTACTGTGTCTTAATAAGTACATATGTTTTAAATGACCAAAGTATTCATGTTTTAGCAATATCAAATTTAAAAAAAAAATGAATTCTCGACAAATGGAGAAATTTTAATTTTAATGAAATCTCCCTGTTCCTATACTTATATTTACGAAAGTTTTCTACTCATTATGAAAAAATAAAAATATAAGAATTTTGACTCGGGTAAAAAAAAAATTAGCCGGGATATTTAATTTAAAAATCTGAAATTTTTTATGTCATTTTTAACTTGCTTTGTATTAGGTCAGTCCATAAATTCGTGCGCTTTTTTTTTGTTAAATTTTTAAATTATATAAAAAAGCACAATTTAACATTTTAATCAATTATATATTTACCTCCATTATCTACATTTTTCGCCATCTTAATCATCTTAAAATTTTAATCAATTATATATTTACCTCCATTATCTACAATGTCTCGCCATCATACAGGCAGCATTTTTATGACATTGCTGTAGAAAAAAACTTGAAAGTTCATTGTGTACATCCTGTTTAGAATTTAATTTTTTCCCCGGTAAATATTTTGTAAGGCACGATATAAGTAAAAATCACATGGAGCAATATCTGGGGAGTCAGCAGGATGTGGCAAAAGCTCTCCATTAAATTCACTCATTTTTTGCAACGTTGTTCGAGCCGCATGCGGTCAAACGTTATCACGATGAAACACTTCTTTGATATCCACCCATCGTGGGCGTTTTTTTTTTTTTTTTTTTTTTTTTTTTTTTTTTTATCCATTCTGAGTTTAGACGGCAAAGTTGTTCACTATAAACTTCTGAATGAATCGTTTGATTTGGTTCTAACAGTTCAAAACGTCCTGAACGGGGTTCATCATCCATGCTGTTTTTAAATTCTTTAAATCATTTCTGGGCAGTCCTTACACTAATACTGTGTTCACCAGGTACACTATTAATTTGTATCCTTGCAAACCTGGCAGATTCACCACACGAAAATAAAAAATGTAGCCCAGCGTGTTTGTACTGATTATCTATATTCATCTTCTATGGGTACTAAAATGCATTGAATACGTATTTACGAAAGTTGGTGATGAACTGAATAATATGTTAGTCAAATGATGACAAGTTTCAACAAGTTCAAAACTGTATTGTTTTAGTAAATGCGTCATAGTGAATTCCACGCATACTCTTAATGCGCATGAACTTATGGACTGATCCATCAGAATTGGTTTATAAGTTAGAATAATTCGGCGAAATAAGTTTTAATGAAATGAAAATAAAAAATGTGTATGATTTAATAGGTCGTAAAAGGAAGTTGTGTAGTGTTCACATCAGATATTTTAAGGCATATTCTCTTTCATAGAAATTTATAAAAGTTGTGGAAGATTTTGAGCTTGACACAGACAAAATCGGATACACTAGCAAGCAGAAAATTTTCTCCTTTCTGCTGGGATCAGAAGGAAACGAATGTAGTTTTCGTTTGAATGAACATAACAATATGTTTAAAAATATTCATAGGCATATAATTATTCGTTCCTTCGTAAAGAGCTCTTCAAATGGGTATGTCGGGAAGGGAATACCCTTTAATAGGGTTGAAGGTGTCGAAATGAAGCAAACTTAGTGGAGAATGGTTCTGTTACGATGATCCCACCCAAAAAATAAGAACTGCCGAGAC